GCGTCCCACACACACACTCGTATCAGATATCCCAGCTACTGACATAAACAAAACTGAGAAAAACAGATCATCTGGCTTTATTTTAAACTGCCCCTATAAAAGGTATCAGAAAACTTTCTCTGCAGCACAGCATCACGAGAGATGGGCAAGACAGTCTAGAGCCTCTATCTCACTTGGATTTCACAGTGCTTAACTCAAGAGTTCTCTAAACCTCAATGAGTTTCACACTTTTTCATGTGGCTTTTACTTCAGATATGGGTAGTCCTGGAGAGATCCACACAGTTATGGCACCAGCAACCTGAAGACCCCAAATGCTTAACTAAGACCAATAAAGTCCATGAGTCACAATCTCAGGGGAATCAGAGCCACTTGGCATGCACCCAGAGAAGGTCAGTTGGAGCATGGGAGACTATTTCTAAATAACCCAGAGCTTTGCCACTGGGAAAAATAAATATAACTATGTATCTTGTTTCCACATCTTAGCTGGCTAAATAAATAGATCTCATAGTGCACTCTCCGGGCAGATTCTTAAAGTGACCTTGGTCCTGCTGCTGCCCAGGACAGGAGAATGCGGGTGTATCCACAAGAGAAGTGGTGCATTTTCGATGCTGCATTCCTGGCAGCTGATCAAAGAACAAGGGTAATCTCAACCCCCGCAGTTGCCGGCTGTTCCTTCCCAGCAGGAAGGCAGATCATGGTGGCACATAGTTATGAAGTGGAGAGAAGGTATCAAGGGCAAATACAAAGGGAGGATCAGAGACTTGCTGGGAGAACATTGGAGTTTTCCTCTATAGGCAGGTTACAGACTAGGGTTCTCTTCAAGTTCCATACTGATAGCCAAAGAGAAGCAGACGTTTTTGTGACCAACTAACTACACCAAAATAACCCACTCCAGATTTCAGCATAGCCACATAGTGACTTTGGGAAGAGCTACACCAGTGTCAGATGGCCAGGAGCACATGCTGAACTAGACAAAGCACATAACCCCTTTTTATTCTTTCTCCCCATCTCAGAAAACCTACCCATAAGCTTCCTCCCCCAGTCACCCTACAAATTTTTAACTAGAACAGCTCAGAAAATAGAAGGATATTTTCACATGTACCCACCTCCATTTTCCGATGAACTGTAAAGATGCCTGGGATTTTCAGACCATAGCTATCCCAAGCATTCACTAATGCTGGGAAAAAAGATCTGTAACCCACCCTGCAGTCTGGACTTCTGGTCTCAGGACCTAAATTCTTGTCAACAGCATCTCTTGAAGTCACTTTCCCCAGTGAGAGCTGTGTTTCCAAAGGGACTGCAAGTAAGCATTATCCCTACAGAATAATAAGAAACTAGTGCCTTTAAATAGGTTGCAAGTGTTTTTTAAAACAAAACAGGTTTCTGTGCTTCTTCTGATTTAAAACAGACTGTCTCCACTGAGCCATTGACCTTCTCGGCTGCTTCTAGTTATTAAATGAAACAAGCAACTTTGAGCCCTAGGCAGGCCAGCTGAGAGGCTACCAGGCTTCAGCTGATTTATAGTTTTTGCTCGTTAAACCAAGTGTAGGTGGGAGCCAAATCACCTTTTTCTGTGAGCTAGGTCCCAGGAAAGATTTTATCCTCTGTTTGCACATTCATACAAATATGTTTTAAGAAGAGCACAGATGTTTTAGGGAAAAAAGGAAATTAGGAAACTGGACTAGCAATGAGGGAGCTCAGGTAGACAACAGTTAATGTATAAGATACCTTCTTTCAAAGGGAAAATAAATCCATGCTTTTCAGCAATAAACAAAATGGCTTATTAGCAATAAAACTGGGGTTTTATTGAGGGAAATTTTGAGTTCGCATTTTCTGGTGTGGGGGTGTGTGTCCCAAATGGAAAAAAAGGTCCACAGAAGAGTTCAAAACAATTCTTGTACATCAGATAAAAGGAAGAAAAACCCAAATATTGCATGCTGGCAATCTGGAATCATTGAAATCAAAAGGAGTGTGTTTCTTTGAGAGGCTATTTCTTTCCCTTTCTGCTTAGAAGTGAGTATTCTAGACCACTTTACAGCCTACGTTACAACTCTCAGCAGCACTAGTTGCATCTCCAAATGGATCTCACCAAAAACCCAGGCTAGAAATGTCTGACAGATACCAAGTTTTCCACTTCCCTCAGAGGAAACAGCAAATGGAAAAAGCAGCTTTGCACAAAATTCATTTTAAAAGCCTTTACGCGGCCAGTCCCATTGTTTAACAGAGAACTGATACAGACCCAAGTCCCATTACACACAGAACCTGACCTATGAGGCAAGTGTTTTTTAAAACAAAACAGGTTTCTGTGCTTCTTCTGATTTAAAACAGACTGTCTCCACTGAGCCATTGACCTTCTCGGCTGCTTCTAGTTATTAAATGAAACAAGCAACTTTGAGCCCTAGGCAGGCCAGCTGAGAGGCTACCAGGCTTCAGCTGATTTATAGTTTTTGCTCGTTAAACCAAGTGTAGGTGGGAGCCAAATCACCTTTTTCTGTGAGCTAGGTCCCAGGAAAGATTTTATCCTCTGTTTGCACATTCATACAAATATGTTTTAAGAAGAGCACAGATGTTTTAGGGAAAAAAGGAAATTAGGAAACTGGACTAGCAATGAGGGAGCTCAGGTAGACAACAGTTAATGTATAAGATACCTTCTTTCAAAGGGAAAATAAATCCATGCTTTTCAGCAATAAACAAAATGGCTTATTAGCAATAAAACTGGGGTTTTATTGAGGGAAATTTTGAGTTCGCATTTTCTGGTGTGGGGGTGTGTGTCCCAAATGGAAAAAAAGGTCCACAGAAGAGTTCAAAACAATTCTTGTACATCAGATAAAAGGAAGAAAAACCCAAATATTGCATGCTGGCAATCTGGAATCATTGAAATCAAAAGGAGTGTGTTTCTTTGAGAGGCTATTTCTTTCCCTTTCTGCTTAGAAGTGAGTATTCTAGACCACTTTACAGCCTACGTTACAACTCTCAGCAGCACTAGTTGCATCTCCAAATGGATCTCACCAAAAACCCAGGCTAGAAATGTCTGACAGATACCAAGAGGTATTTTCCACTTCCCTCAGAGGAAACAGCAAATGGAAAAAGCAGCTTTGCACAAAATTCATTTTAAAAGCCTTTACGCGGCCAGTCCCATTGTTTAACAGAGAACTGATACAGACCCAAGTCCCATTACACACAGAACCTGACCTATGAGGCTATCACAGAAGTAGAACTAACACTAGTCTAATCACAGCCAACATTCCATAGGAAGGAAACCAGGGAAACTGAGTGGAATTTGCTTACTTAGTTAAGCACAGGCATGGACCCATCAATCACTTTTGGTTGCCTTAGAAGTCAAGCCCAACTCTGGGTCTAACTCATCCTGGGCACCCCAGTCATACATAAAGCAGTTCTCCAGGCTCCCTGAATCTTAAAGATTAAAGTTAACGTGAGGCCTGAGGGGAATCTTAGAGGATGCTCAGATATCCTAGGAATAATATCCTAGTGATTATATTCTTTGAGTTGGGAAATATCCAAACCTCGGCATAGGAAACATCCTGATATCATACTTTTGGACAGACCATGTAGGAGAATCACAGGTACTCTGGCTAAGAGAGAACTGAAGCTGTGAAGCTGTTCCAGGTACTTAGGACCATACTAGAAAGCCAAAAATGCAGGCAAAAGTGAGTTGGCTTCCATTAACAAGGCAGCTGCAGGAAGTTGTGTGTCTGCTGGGCCCACTCAGTATCTTATTTAGCAAAGCAAACTGTTCAAATTTTTTTTTATAGCCCCAGACATGTAGGCAGAAGAACTGGAAGGATGCTGCATTTAGCAAACAACAGTATCATGTATTGACGTGCAAGTTCATCACTTGTGGCTAGTAGAAATTAATTCAAATTCCTTCCCATACAATGTATTGTGTAACTGGTGACATTGGGAGAACTGGTATCAGTCTTTGATGGCAACAGCAGGATGGACATTATTTACTGGTGCTTGCATCCAGGGTGACTGACCCCCACTCCAACCACAACTAAGCAAGTAGTGGTCAAACTGTTGTGCCATGTCTGTCAATCCATTTCTCACCTACGTGTGATGCTCAACCTAAAGCTACTTCCTCAGTAATCACCAGCCACGGACTGCACCCATGTCAGGTCCATGCAGAAGCCAAAACTGACTGAACGTTGCCGTGTCCTTGCTGAGACGTGCATGAACAATTAAGGACTATGTGCTCCACAAGGCATTGCGTGTCTCAGCAGGAGAACTGGCAGGCTTTGTGTTGCATAAGCAAATGTTATTGTGTGGGCACAGCTCATAGCAGTAAATTCTTCCTCCTGCTTGTAATGAGCAAGCCACAGAAATGTTCTATGTCCTTCTGTGGATGTTTTCCACATTACAAAGTTTGCCTTGAAAGGCGTCTGAGGAAGTAGTCAGAATGGACAACTTGGGGACTAATGTTCAGCATTAAGATGGGGATATAAAATGGACTTGCTGTTTTCAGAAAAATACTATTTGAAATATTTGGTACAGGCTTAAAGACAGACCCAGATTAATACCAGTAAGAACTATCATACTTCAAAAATATCACGATGACCTGGTCACAACTGTCTGCAAAAAGAGGATGAGGCAGCACTGCCACGATTCCACTGTACCTGCCCTCGGGCTGGTGGTGGCAGGAGGTTCTTCCTGAGGGGTTGGCAGGAGCGGTTTGTCTGCTGCCAGCACATGCTTCTCAGAATCCAGTCCTGACTGGGAAATGAGGGACGATACCTTGCAATCAAACTGCCATCACTGTATAGGGTACGCTACAAATAAATGGCCACCAGCATGAATCATATGATGAATCACGGCATTAACGTGTCCTTCAGGGAACTATTTCTGCCCCTTAAAAAACCCTGCAGATTTAAAGTGAGTCGAAATTGTGCATCCATTTCTGATTTCTTTGCCTCTTCAAGTGGAACCAAAATTTTATTTCTTGCTGTCCTGGAAAGATGAGTTCCCTTGGGGCTACTGCCTACCTGACTGTCCTGACGTGCCTCTTGCTGTACGGGGTGATGACTTTGAAAAGCAGCTCCATGGCTCCATTGATGCCAAGTGTAGTTCCTGTGGTAACTAAGCCAATAAAAGAGAAAAGCAGTCAGATCTGAAGTAGCAAGCAGGTGGTCTGCAACATTGTGTTTAGAGGTGATGCGGGGAAGGGAGTAGCTGCCCCTGGGGCTATGAGCAGATTTCTCTGGGCTCCCAACTGGACTTCACAGGTCGTTTTACAAACACAGAAACTGAAGCACAAAGCTGTCTGTGGACGCAACCTGCACCAAGATCAGACGCAAGAACAGTCTGCAGTTCTTCCCCGAGTTCCCCAAACCCCCCTGTGTATAGTGTACTCTCCAGAGAACAAATCAAATCATAGTTAAAGAGGGTCATCTCCCAGCAAAGTGACAGGGCTCAAATTCATCCCACATTTCCCACAGGCAACTCCATGAGGACAGTTTATTTCATAGGGGCATGGAGGGCAGAGTTTTCTTTCTATGCTATTATTCAGCAGTATAGAAGTGTTTTTTTGCGGGGGAAGGTGTGCTTCTGAATGCAGCTTAATTTCAGCTAGGCCAATTTGACCTTTAATCCTTCACTTGTTAACACACTATGAACTTTTCTAGATAGATTTTGCAATCGATTCCAAAAATGCCCGATGCATAAACCAGGGGTTTAGCCAGACCTCCCCACTATGAGACAGGATCTCTGTGTAAAGAAGGGACGAGTACAGCCCTGAAATATTAAATGCAAGCGAACACGGTGAAAGGATCAGTAATCAACAGCAACCAGAGGGAGACCTGGCTGCCTGCCCACTGCTGGGTTTTGGCTGTTTTGTAAATATGTCCCAGTGGTCATCAGAGAGCTGCCAGAGGGCTCATCATCTCCTGCAGTCCTACCATGTCCCCACCAAGTTGTCCTGTGATGGAAAGCTTTGCAAGGCTTGCCAGCTGCTTTCACACTAGCTGGTAATTCATTAGAGACAGGGGGGGCGGACAAGGCTGCTTGCACTCATCCTGCCCGAAAGCAGGACGTGGGCTGCCACACACAACTGGTGGCAGAGATTGTGAAGGGAGCAACCCAGAGCAAAGAACTGGTGCATGAGATAGTGACAAGGAGTCATCTTTTCTGCTTTCATACCTAAGCACTCTGAGTTTTATATGCTCTGGATCCTCTTTAGTTCCACTCCATAAAAATAATTTTTAAGGTTGGGAGCATGTAACCTCCTAGTTCGGTACCACATCCACACAGACCTTCACCTAACATCCCCTGCAGCTTCCCAGCTGGGCCACAGAGCCCACAAAGTCAAAGTTACTTGTGGAAAGGGGAAGCACGTCTGGAGAGTGCTGGAGATACCTGGAGAGTAACAGAGGTGCTCCAGCAGAGGAGCAGAGTCAGGGTTCTGGGGTCTGACATTAACAGAAAGGAGGCCAGGCTGCAGTGTGCATCCTAAAACCTCTGCAAAAACTGCAGCTGAATTGGGATGCAGGTGCACTTGAAGCAGGGAGCAGGGAAGTGTGTAGATCATCATTTTGGGTGGGAGGTGGCACAGGGTCACTACACAGCTGTGAAACCCAAATAAAGGCACGGTTCAGCTTCTGGCCTTGGCTGCATTTTCAGTCACACTCAGCCTTTCAAATACTGCTTATCACAGGGAGAGGGGTTGAATATTGAGGCTTGGCTGCTTGCCTGAGAAAGCCCATTGCATGAAGCTAGCTCCTGTACAGATAGAAGGGACCTGCAGGGCTGGGTGCCAGGAGTGTTAAATCTTAGGATGCGTATAGCATACTGCAGACAGGATGGCCGTCAAGAATTATCTGCTGGGTGAATGATGTGGGGAAGAAGAGGAAAGAGTTAGGGTGAGCAAAGGGAAATTTGTGCTGACAAACTCAGTGCTCTATAGCAGGGAAAGCCTGTATGAATCTCTGATGATCCTGGGAGACAATACTGGAAATCCCATTGCTTGAATCATTTAATATGAGGGCATTGCCAAGCAAGAAAAGCTGGGAGACTGCATGGGGGGGATACTAGACAGAAGACCAGGATCTAATATGTCCTCCCTGAGGGACCTTGAATGAGTAACTGATTTCCCTCTCCCTCTGTTTCTCCACCCGTATTTTCCTTCCTCGTGGAGCTGCTCTGGGGATCAATACAGTCAACAATAGTGAGACATTTGGCTATTATGGTAATGGGAACTGCATAGAGACTTAAAGTACCTAAGTCTCAGAGCAAAGGAGTTGACTGTATTCTAGAATAGATCATTGCCATGAATATTTTTCACTACAGTGCTTTTATTTTCATACTCCACAGATGAAATATGCTGTAAAGGCTGCATAGGCCCCTTGGGGAGCACCTCTTTCTACGGTCATTCTGGCTTTTGTGCCTGATTCTGTATATTAACGGTGCATGCAGGCACTAACCTTCATCAGGAATGATGTTTCTTTGCACTGAAATGACTAAAAAAGAACTCTGCCGGTTGTCACACAGAGGAAAAGGGGAAAATCCAGGCACTCACCATTAGAAGCACAAACCCGCAGGACCCAGAGGCAGTGGGTGAGGTGCAGGTGGTGGCCCAGGTTTCTTCTTGCCAAGCTCAGTATTATATCAGTTGCTTCTGCCTTCTGCACTTTCAGCCCAAAATTCCTATCTGTGAAAAGCAAATAAAAATCAAACTATTACAAAGACCAGGTCTCTGCAGCAGTGCTGATAAATATATTTGCACCAAATCTTATAATTCAAGATCTCATAACAAAGACATTCAAATGTATCAATGTGTTAGATCAGCATTATTCCTACTGAAAACAGGAAAACATGGGATTTACCTAGAGTCACCATATACAAATCACAGAATCATAGAATGCTTTGGGTTGGAAGGGACCTTTAAAGGTCATCTAGTCCAACCCCCTGCAATGAGCAGGGACATCTTCCACTAGATCAGGTTGCTCAGAGCCTTGTCCAGCCTGACCTTGAATGTTTCCAGGGATGGGGCGTCTACAACCTCTCTGGGCAACCTGTTCCAGTGCTTCACCACACTCATCATAAAAAAATTATTCCTTATGTCTAGTTTGAATCTACCCTCTTTTAGTTTAAAACCATTAGTGCTCATCCTATTGCAACAGGCCCTACTAAAAAGTCTGTCCCCATCTTTCTTATAAGCCCCCTTTAAGTACTGATAGGCTGCAATAAGGTCTCCCTGGAGCCTTCTCTTCTCCAGGCTGAACAATCACAACTCTCTCAGTCTTTCTTCATAGGAGAGGTGTTACATCCCTCTGATCATTTTTGTGGCTCTCCTCTGGACCCACTCCAACAGGTCTGTCTTTCCTGTACTGAGGACCCCAGAACTGGATGCATACTCCAGCTGAGGTCTCACCAGAGCGGAGTAGAGGGGCAGAATCACCTCCCTTGACCTGCTGGCCATGCTTCTTTTGATGCAGCCCATTGGCTTTCTGGGCTGTGAGCACATGTTGCCAGTTCATGTCCAGCTTTTCATCCACCAGTACCCCCAAGTCCTTCTCGGCAGGGCTGCTCTCAATCCCTTCATCCCCCAGCCTGGATTGATACCAGGGATTGCCCTGACCCAGGTGCAGGACCTTGCGCAATCTCATGAGGTTCACATGGGTGCAATTCTCGAGCTTGTCCATGTCCCTCTGAATGGCATCCCGTCCCTCAGACATGTCAACCGCACCACTCAGCTTGGTGTCATCTGCAAATTTGCTGAGGGTGCACTCGATCCCACTGTCTATGACATTGATGAAGATATTAAACAGTACTGGCCCCAACACAGACCCCTGAGGGACACCACTTTGTCATTGATCTCCATCCGGACATTGAGCCATTGACCACTACTCTCTGGATATGACCATCCGGCCAATTCCTTATCCACTGAATAGTCCATCCATCAAATCCATATCTCTCCAATTTAGAGAGAAGGATGTTGTGGAGGACCGTGTCAAAGGCCTTACAGAAGTCCAGATAGATGACATCCGTAGCTCTTCCCTTGTCCACTGATCACAGAAGGCCACTAGGTTGGTCAGGCAAGGCTTAACCTTGGTGAAGCCATGCTGACTGTCTTGAATCACCTCCCTGTCCTCCATGTGCCTTAACATAGCTTCTAGGAGGATCTATTCCATGATCTTCCCAGTCACAGAGGTGAGGTTGACAGGTCGCTAGTTCCCAGGGTCCTCCTTTCTACCCTTTTTAACAATGGGTGCAATGTTTCCCTTTTTCCAGTCACTGTGGACTTCACCTGACTGCCATGACTTTCCAAATATCATGGAGAGTGGCTTTGCGACTACATCATCCCAATTCCTCCCGACT